CATAGTTCCATCGCACTAACTATGCAGCTGCACTCCAGTTTTAATGGATAACTCCACGCCTCTTTCTCTACCACCAAACTGCTGCAAAGGACTTTCAGCTTGCCAATATTTTTAGTGTTCCCGTACTACACAGACATTATACACTTACAAACATCCATGTCAGTGGGGCTGCAACCGGTTTTATTTTCCAGTGCATGATTTTTTTAGGAAAAATTTCTAATGTGCTAGATTGGATTCTCCCTTATTCTGTACCCAATTAAATGGCCCCTACGAAGCCCGAATCCTTCAAGACCAAGCAGCTTGGTGTGGGGAAGTGCTATGTTATTTGGATGACAGTTTTTCAGACGATTTGTGCCGAAATATGCGGAAAAAGACGAACCATTGACCAGTTTGACGCAGAAAAATCAAGACTTCGAATGGAAGCAAGAGCAAAAAAATTCTTTGAACTGCTAAATAAACAACTGATAAGCCCATATTAGGCTGAGTATCATCCACATGCAAATGCGTAATTCCAGCGCTGAACGTTTGAGTGGAATGCTGATGCAGCATATTGAAGATGGAAAATGGCATCTCTTTTACTGTGTTAGTAAAAAAACGTCGAAAGTTTTCCTTCGAACGAGAAAAATAAACAAGCAGAGAAAAAGTGGCATTCTACCAAATTAGAACTAATGGCAATTGTATGGACTTAGGGCAGACTTAGACAATTCTTAATTGGCATAGAATTTACAATTATTATTGAAGGGCAAGATCATGTGTATATGAATGCGGAAAAGACTACGAATCCTCAAATTTACTCCATTAATATAGTTTAATCCAAGAATATGATTTTGAGATAAAACAAAGACCATGAAAATAACTGCCTCGTGTTACGCTTTTAGTAAAGCTCCCGTATCGGAAGCTGGTGACAGTTTTGAAGTTTGCCAGACTCAGCGGAAGAAGAGCAAACCGTTATGATACAACATGCCGACAGAGACTTGAAAACCTGATTGACATTTTCAAGAAGAAACAAAATGAACAAAATGCAGAAGAGAAGCAAATAATTAGGAATTACATGTTTAAAAGGAGTAGATTATTTTGGAAAACCGTGTTAGATAGTAAACCCTGGTAGATAGTAAAGAGATGCTGCTCTATATTATCCTCAAAAGCATGAGGAAAAGTGTAGTAGTGATATTTCGTGATTTAGTTTGTCACTTTTCTGTGGACAGAAAAATTAAGGAATTGTATTGATTTCCAGGCATTAAACGATATGTCAGACACAGATCAACGTGATTTGAATCCCTTATGAATAATGTACCAGGCGGCAAGCAACAAGAACTATTATATCCCATAAAACCTGGTAAAAGACCTTTTACTGTTGTGCATATGGATCATTGGGTCCTGTCGTAAAAAGTTCAAGAAGTAATCAAGAACTATTAGTAATAACTGAGAATATGGCAATGCTTGTGAGAATTTTCATAGTCAAAAATACAAAATGCAAATGCAAAAGATGTTTGAAACTCTTTAAAGGATTTTGTTGATGATTTTGATCTACCTAAAAGAGTAATTAGTTATAGAGCATCCTCTTCTACTTCTTCTTCTAGGTTTTCAAAGTATTCTGACCTTCACGGGGGGTGTGTCAACGAAAGAGAAAAACAGGAGGTGTATAGTAAGATGTTAATAGGTATCCACAGAACTGAATCCAATTTAAGTAGGTTATCACCAGACTTTAGGCGTTCCATAATACCTTAACATAGATTTTACACATTTACTTGTACAATACTTATATCAGAAGCATATAAATTAACTAATTACTGGACTTGTTTAATTCGCCAGTTATAAATACGAATGTCAGAGACAGATACTGTTTTTTTCTAAATTTATTTTGAGAAGAATAATTAAACAAATATTTTTAAAAATATCAAAGGATGCATGAAAGTTGAAGTAAATCAAAATCATCGTCTTTGAATTTTGATAAAAATAGGTAAATTTAGTTTTTTTTAACAAAATGTTCTGTTTTTAGCTCCACTGATTGCGTAGAGACATCGACCATGTTTACAATTCCGCGTAATTTCTAATATTTAACGCAGACGCGTCTAATAATAACAACAAAGGTAGTGCTGCGAATTGTTTTATGTTTTGTGGTGAACGAAGCGATTCTGTTTCAAAACCAGTAAAGTGTTCTGCATTATAAAAGTATAATCCAATTTCAGATCGAGCAAAAAGCTGCATTTTGCTTTTGAACAGATTGAGACATTTTGTGAATAAAAAGTGAGATTTTTAATTTTACTCTTTAAATATTTTTGTATAAAATAAATTTCGTTGAACAACTCTATTTAGTGAGTAATTCAATCTGGTAAAAGTAATGTCTCAACTTAAAAATCACCTTATATAACTAGCTCAAGATTAAAATAAGCTTTTACACAGCGAATGTTTTGAATTGCTATGTTTTATCACATTTAAATAGCTTAAATTTTGTTCACGAATAACTGACACGAATTAATTTAATGCCACAGTTTACTTCGTTCTTCAAACCAGAACCAGCCATAGCTAAACTTATGCGTTCTTCGGATTCTACTTCTGATTTAAAAAATTTTAATAATCTGTCCAGTCTACATTTTGGGTGTGGACCATGATCAGCATTTGCACTTCTTTGATATGTATGCTGTTAAAAAATCCTGAGGCAAGCAAGATTCAACTAATGAATAAAGTAATGCAGCACTTTTATCTGTAGTGACGCCAAGGGTTTCCAGAGCCCGAATTTGTTATTCCAAAATATCATGCAATGCACATAAGTTATTATAGGAAGGACCGATTTTCAACAATTCTCATACATAAACTTCCACTTGCAAGTCATTTCGACCAAAACGAGCCTTCAAACATTTTATGGCATTGGGATAATGAGCAGATGTAGGAGGAAAACTTTCTATAACCTCCTTTGCACGCAAACCCTTAACAGTCGCTTGTAATAAATATTGAAATTTATCACTATCAGAAATCGTAGTATCTTTGTCAATTTTTTCAAACTGACTCCAAAAAAATAACCATTCTTTAATTTCACCATCAAATTTTCGTAATTCAAGCTTTGGAAGTTTAAATGTACATTTACATACATTCTCATTAACAGATTCATTCAAAATTAAATTTGAAGTACTTACATTTTGTAGATTCCGAAGAATATTTTTCACTTTAGTTTCGATTCTAACGGCCTTGTCACGATAATCTTCAATAACATCGAATTCTGCTTCAGTTTCGTTTCCGGATAGTGTGCTAAGATAAGATCTTCCAAACGTTGAACGTTCGAAACAAAAACATTAAACTTTAATTCAGAAGAATTTATCTCACTTTTCTTTAAAATTTCTTCTAAAACGTTAAAGGATTTTGTAAAAGCAGCTCTATGAATCTTCCTTTCAAGTTTAATAGCTTCCATTTTTATACTTTAGAATTCCAAACTAACGTCTCTTGGGTCTCGCCAAGGGTAACAATAAAATGTTCGCTTACGCGTCAAAATAAACTATTACGCTACGAGCGTATCACGGACTCTAAGAGACTACTAAAAATATTCTAAAGTATTCATTTATTAACGTAAGTAAAACATTCCTCATGTACATAACATGTCATTCTTCTTTAAATAAGAACTACAGAAAAATATTTTCCCAATTTTATAAATTGTTTTGTTGCCACTTCTAAGAAAGAAAACTAACAATAATTATTAGTGGCCAAACCACATTAAATAAAAAATTAAGGGAAAGTAAGTACTGTTAAATTGAAGCACGTATAAAATAAAAACTACATTCATTTGAAATCCAACAATCTATATCTCTTCACCTAACCCAAGTGAACATCTTCTTGTAAGATTACGTTTAAGAGCAGGCGTAATACTTGCCATCCTAAGTAATAGCCTACGAATGCTTACTGTCCAAGCATGGTGTAACGTAACACTTGAAACAAAAAGTTATACATGGAATATACATTTGTGTATTGCTGTAAAGCGTAGACACATCGAATATGCTTATTTCATAATTTTAGAATATTATTTTGTACTTTTTTTCTTGTCCTGCGCTGTATGAATTTCTTTACTGTAATAAGTTATCTTGTAATTGATGTATACTAGTTTTATTAATAAATTTGCATCTATTGTATAATATCATAAGCTCTGTTCGTGACATATGTAAGCGATTGATGAGATACCGAAATATCATTATTTCATGGCATTTCTTCAAGTTCTTGGTAATGTAAGACATCGTTTCACACTAAAGTGGTGACGCTCTAGACGTTCGCAATTAACGTGTTTTCACTGTCTCTCATAGTTTTCCAATAAGATTGCTAATGTCATATATTCTCCTCAAGAGGCACGGTAATCGATCTTATATAATACAGCATTGCCCTTTTATCGTAGGTATGTACAGTTTTCACAACTTTTAACTTTCTGCTATCAATCCTTATTTTGGTGCTTAACGAATTTTACTGTACTCTCTATAGATATAAACGTATTGTTGCGTGCGTATGGGTTTGTAATGGATTGAATGCACAAGTCGATAAAAAGTGTATAAAATTTATTCTTATCTCAAGAAATAAAACAAAATGCTGAAATTTCCTCAGAGATATTCGTACAATATCACAATATCTCACAGTAGTTATATTAAACTACTAAAATGTTTTACAAAACACAATTCAAAACAGAGAAAGCTAATCCGATCTCACCGCGAATTCGCTACAGTCAATAACAGCACTATACAAACAAACTGAATTGAGATGTTTTTCTTCGGCTTTTATAAGCGTTTTAATCCTGCACGAGAATATTTTGGTATTTTCTCGATTTTTCTGGATAGCAAAAAGAGTACACTTACGAGATATCTATTCATTAAAATGTTAAATACGTGTGCTCCTGTATTTAATTTTTTCCGGCGTAGCTTTCTTTTCAATTAAGTCTCGCGCTGCATTACACGCGAATATAAACAATTTTAATTACAAATTCTACTAAAAATAGCTAAATAAATACAAAATTCGTAACAATATGTAAGAAAAAATACACATACATTACGACTGAAAAAGGTTGAGCATCTAAGTTAGAAAACGAGGTAAGACAGTTTTTCTAGTTCAGTACCGGTGATTGATTGATCTGGTCATCTATGTTATTTTAATGACTTTTAATGGATTTTTGACATATTTTGAATACTTCCGTAGCAGACTCCGCTAAAAGACTAGAGCTCTTAAAAAATTAAAAATGGTGAAAGCAATTTTATCCTACGATGCTATATCGCTTTCCAATATGCTGAAACCGTAGGTATAAGATTTTAGTGAGAAGTTATCAAATTTTAACGAATGGGCAACATTTATTTAATGTTCATCCATTCACCTGCTTGTATTTCCACTTTGTACCCGCTTAGTCTTATTTCCATGAGTCACATCGTTCTAGTTCTAAAACTCTTTATTCACCTGCACTATGATTTACATATCAACTTCTACGCTAGAGAATGTGAGCATTTAATTTTTGCTATCATTTAAGCAATCTTGTTTGAAGATTATGGATTGATCTCTTTATCCAGAATGCACTCAAAAGACCTTCGAGGTTCCGTGATAAAGTATTCAGTAGGATTAAACTCTTTATTCAGAAATCATATTTGTGAGAAACGTGATTGCAGTATCTCTTTTTCTGTGTAATTTATATGAATAGAAATGCTTGCTATATACCGTAGTTACTTTCATATTCGCCACTCTTTTTCATAGTAATTTTACCGACTGAAGATCAGGAGGGGAAAATATGTGGTGTATACTATTTCTGAAGAAACGGCTTTAATAATAAACTGAAAAGCACCCTTGAAGACTAATATTATTACATTATGTATTTAAAAGTACTCATAACTTTGAATAATATTGTTTTACTTTACACAAAATACATTGCTCTTTGTGCATACATTTTACTTGTTACCTCACATCAGAAATTCCTGAATCATATGCTGAAGACAACTAGAGGGAAATTATTATGCAAAATACATACATATATATTTGTATGTATTATTTTTATGTAGGGTGTTAGACTTTATTTTCGTAACCGTTATTATTATATCGAAATATACATCCATCACAGTATCTTTCAATAAAGTAGAACATTTTAATAAAGCAGTTTCAGCCCTGCAGGATGAGCGATTCTGAAAATATGAAAGAAAAAGAGCAAGACCAATTGGAAAAAAGTTCTCTGCTGCAACAAGTTAAAGTATAAAGTAACATGTAAAAAAAAAGATAAATAAAGTCAATTCCTACTTAGGGCAACAAAGACCAATTTAAAAAAAATTAAATACAAAAAAACATTTTTAAAGTGCAAAAACTGTATTAATATCAAATGTCATCCTCTGCAAGTTTAAAAAAATGTATTTGAACTTGAGGGGATGAATAGAAAGTATTTTATTAACGATTGAAAATTAATTAAATAAAAAAAAATTGTAAAGTCAATTCCTACTTAGGTCAACAAAGAATTTTAAAAATACAAAATAAATAAATAAACTAAAAAAACGTTTTTTAAAAATAAACTAAAAATTTTTAATATATGAAAAAACTATATTAACATCAAGTATCATCCACTACAAGTTTAAAAAATGTATTTGAACTTGAATGGATGAATAAGAAGTATTTTATTAACGATTGAAAATTTGAAGAAGATGTGTGAGCTAAATAGTAGGAATTAAAGAATTGCATGCCTTTATGTGAAAATCCGAGAAATTGTTAGATGATAAATCTGCTGGCTTAGATATTTCAATTAATGCTTCCAAGCGAAAGTAAATAAAGCAGATTCTCTCGTCGCTATTACTTCCCTAAGACCGGCAATAAAGTGATCAGTATTTATAATAATAAATATGGGCATTGAATATCATCTGTGGGCAGAGCTTAAATTGCGCCGGCTTGGATACTTCTTAGTTTTGGGGATAAATAATAATTCTTTTAGGCGGAGCGCACCGGAGCCCTCGATAAGAAGGCTCCGGCACTTCTTTTGTGCAGCTGAACAACAATTTCAGTACAAATTTGATCTTTAAAAGTTTATTTTTGGCAGTAAAATTATATTAAAAATCGTTTATTAAATTTTAGTTTATTTCTTTACGTTTTATTTGATTTTAATTATTTAATTACTTAAATCTTTAATTATGTAAATAAATAATAATTAATTTTTATTTGATTAAATAATAATTATTAACTAAATAATAATTGATAAATATTAATTAAAATATTGATTAAATAATTATTAATTATTTTGATAATAATTAACTATATAATTTTTTAATTATTAATGATTTTGATAGTCATTGTATTTATTTATTTAGTTTTGTTCCTCTTTGCTGACGGTGTTCCATAGGGCTTCGGTAATTCTAATTTCAGAAATTAAGCCTTGCCTGTAGGAGATGTTTATCTGTCTCTATAAGAGGAAAATCATCTGAACCCAACCTGAAAAATAAAGATTTAAAACCACTGTTTGCACCATTGTACTCGTAATTTTGAGAAAATTCCAGTGCCTTATGGTACATGATCTTTTTTTTAGGTTTGAAAAATCTAAACAAGATTCAGAATGGCGGCTATGATGCACATTCTAACATGTAGTGCTTTTTACACATCACCTCTTTCAACATCCAATCTTGATTCCTGCCACAGTTTATAAAATAAAAAGATGTTTTCAGAGTTTTGAATCATCCTGTGTATGAGTTCAGCTGTATGTGCTTGCTTTGATAACTATGTTGTGAAACATATAATATATATAAGGAATTTTCATTTTGATAGGACACGATTTTCTTGGCGAAAACAACAACCATTTCTTTCAGATAATACTTCACTGTAGTCTCATGCTTTATCATTGAAATATTATACTGAATAATACGAAAGGGAGAAAATAATTCCTGGATTTTCTTTGTATTTTATTTAAATACTTCCTTTATCTTTTTTAAGATATTTTAACCCCGTGTTATAGTAGCTGCTTTAAAAGGCATTAGAAAATAATAGTCACTGATAGTTACGAATTTCTGGAATGAAACTTGGGGTATTTTCAGAAAGTCCTTAAGACCAAAAAAAGCGTTATAATATATAAATATCGCCATTGCTGAGTTACTCCAAAGAAATAAGAATCATTAAGCTGAAACAGCAACTATTTCGAATCGATCCTCTTTGGCTGTGCCCATCATTCCCATCGTTAATGATTTTTAGATTGATGGTTGCGTTACTGATGGTGATTTGATGGATGACGGTTTTTCACAGGCGATGTTCTGACTGATTTTATAGATGAAATTTTAATCTGGCGGATACTTTTCTTTCTGTGATGTCTCCTCGTTAATCAGATGTGAATTGTAGTTGGGTTTTTCTCTTCTGAATTTCCCTTTTTGCGAACTTTATAGACCGAGTGAAGAATCTTCTAGTTTACTGCACTGATAAGATGAAAGTAGACATTGGTTATTTACGGGTTGAGTTTTAAAAAGGTCAATGCAAGTTTGTTAACAAGTACAGAATGTCAACAACTAAAAGAATAGCAATTAAAAGATCACAAATAGGTAACGTCATTTTTTGTTTGTTTCTGATCTTTAATTTAATTTTCAGTGAAAATGAACGTACTGTTGGAAATGTTATTATAGTTGCAACTGGGAAATCGGCACTTTCTGACGATTTGATATCTTAAGCAATAAGGCGGAATTCGTTGATGAGTTTGCAGAGCATTCTCGAACTCGTTGGCGTCTTTGTGAACAAACGTCTGGTTGGCTATCTTTACGTCTATTTCATATTTCAATGATGCATCCAGCACCGCCTTTTTTTCCCGTGCAGGGTCCGCACATTTCTCAGTTTTTTGCGCAATTTCTTCTCTTCGTATACATAACAATAATTTTCTGCTGAAACAATTCAGAGAATTTTGAAACCTCTGATTTCTAGTCCAGGAGGCATTACCAAGTGTTTCTTCTAGTTTTTAACGCACAAATTCTACTCATGAATCTTGTCAAACTCCATATTTTTCTGGTTCTTAGAGGAATAAAATGTCATATAAACTCTCGGTTTCTGGAGGATAGTCGTTCCTTTCTCTGCTAGGAAATATGTACTCTCATTCTCATTTACTTCCAATCAGCCGGCATCCATTGTAGTGCTATTAAATTGGTTAGAGAATTTAGAAGTCGTTGACACTCATAAATAGGTTTCGAGTAGCAAGTTCTGTTGCTGTCAAGAACCTGAAAGATTGATCTACGGTATGAGAGAATGATGGCTTTAGAGAAGGAGGTTTTATGACAATAAAGCAGTTAAAAGGCCATATGAATTGCTGTTCAAATTTGCCAGAAAAATTGGTGTTGACTGCGTTATGAAATGAAAGAAATTATTGTGTACACCAGCTCCAGTAACCCTAGCCTTCACTGAATCGTCAATATACATATGGCTTTCTGTTGTTTCCAGTGCAAATGAACCGTTGCGAAATTACACATTTCTTCTTTATTAACTTTTAAGGCAACATCATGGTTTATTTGGATGTTATTAAAATCTTGGTAGGCCCCATGTTCTGTTTAAAGGATCATTCACTTCAGCAGCTTTGATCTTTCTCAATAAGGCTGCTAGCCTCGTTGAAACCTGTCTGAGTTTATAAGGTTTTGGGATCTTTAAAGTTATTTCTTCAGCTGTCTTTATGAGGATATCTCCAAAGCTTTCGATTTAGCTATAAAAAGTAATTTCTAATATATATCTTTAATCCATTGTTGTTCCCAAAATTTATTTATAATTAATTTAAATTATAAATTATATAATAAACAAATATTAACATACTTACTACGGGATAAAAATGAAATTTATGAAAGCCATAATTCTTAACTCTTTATTTGACATGGTTCCTCAGAAGCAACATGTGTTTTATCATTTGATTATTAAAGGGTTCATAAATAATTCTTAATTCATTTTTGAATTCTGCATCCATATTACATTAAAAATAATTAAGATCTTCCTTGTAAAAGAGTGAAGTCCACCTGACTGTAACTGGAATTTTATTGTATTGGTTTATAAACAACATTGTTTCAGATCAACGAAGTCATTCTTGACCGCTTTTTTTTATTGTTATTATTTTTTTTTTTCGAAA